AGAATTCTCAGGAGAAGGCCATGTCCACAGAAGTCTCATTGGCTATCTCCAGATTGACAGTCTAGACTCCACTCCTATACTCTTAATCCTTAAATTGACAGCAGATTAGGTGACCAACACACAAGCTAAAACACTAGTTAAAATTCTTCAAAACTTTATTTCTCCTCATCATCTATAAGTCCAAATAGAGCTTCAGCTTTAGCTGGTGTGAGGTTATCAGCATAGACATTGTCACCACCACTGAGTTCACAGTCATCACCATCACTGCTGTTCTCATACAAAGCGCTGTCTTCATTGCCATCCATAGCATTACTAAGGCCTCATTTCTTGAAGGCACGTTGCACCATGTCCACTGGAATCCCTTCCCAGGCATCACAAACCCACTTTGCTATCAATTCTATGTTGGGCTTCAGCAGATTTCCAACTTTTGTCAGTAGAGCTTGACCAAATGATATCCATTCATGCCACATCTTTCTTACATGGTCTTTGAAAGGTTTATTGAAACACAAATCTAGAGGCTGCAATACATATGTAAGCCCACCTAAAATAATGGACAAAGTCCTAAGTATAGTCAACACTGAGTCTAGATAGAGGTTAAAAGAAAATAAAAAATAAAACACAGCAGATGAAGTACTGTAAATAAACATATTGTATATCCAACACCAGAGATATCCTGGTACTTGTATTCAGCAATGTTTGGGTGGAACAAGGGGGCGTGACCAAGCACGGGTAAGACTATAAAGGCTACGTCATTGGTCACAGCTCTGGAGAAGAGCGGGAGAAGAGCAGCGGCACCCGACATTCATCTGACAAGGAGGCGCTGCGCCCCGGGTACCAGCACACAGAAGCGGGCAGGTTCTTCTTGCCCAGTACGGCACGGACAGCACAGAGACTGCTGGCGTGCAGGAGAAAAGAAGAGCGGTGCTACCAGCAGTCATTGGAACACCCACAGAGGCTGCAGGCGCCCGCAGATGAGCAGGAGAGACCCGAGAACACCCGCACTGCAGCAGAGAACTGGAACCCTCACTCTAGTACAAGCCGAGGGTTTTTTTTAACAGTATAAATGTGCTGAAAAACTCAGCTTAGACATGAGTATATATGGTAAATTAAGCAGCAGTAGAAAACAGCACTTCAGCGTTTATTTTTTCACCTCATTTACTCTAATTGGTGAAAAATCCATCTTCACTTACGCATGTCCTCAATGAAGAGTGACAAATAATAATTTTACAAATTCTTGACCCACGTATTTTTAAATTATTATTCTGTATGTTGTATAAGGAAGGAAGTTGGCTGTCACCAAGTAAGGCAAGTGTGAGTTGCTAACTGAATTAACTGCTTTTTTCAAGGAATACAGTATTTGCTTGAAAAAAAAAAACAACTGATATAAAAATGGTTTAAGTCTTCACACAGGTATTTTCTCCCAAATTAACAAGTGGAATTTTGTTAACTAAACTAAAAACAAAAGAAGAAAATGGGCAGTATTTGTTGCCAATGATAAATCTAAGTTTCGAGCAAAAATTAGGATTCTAGGAAACCTTCACTCACCATCAAGAGCTTCCCCATACATAATACCTTCGCTGACAAGATTGGTGGGTAGTTTTAATGAAGGTGATTTGTTTGATATTGTATAATCAATGCCTTGACATTCGAAAGAACCATATAACCCAGGCAATTAATATTTTTCAAATCACCAAGATAGGCAAAAATACAAAACACCCGTTTTTAATAAAAATTGTATTTATATTATGACCACAGAGGCTAATCCTGCTGCTCTGTGGGAGAACAAAGTGGCATCTACTTCTGTAAAGATTACAGCTTGGCAACTCCTCAGGGCAGTTCTATTCTGCCCTATACGGTTGCTGTAAGTTGGAACAGACTTGACAGCATTACTTTTGTTTTTAACAAATGTGTCACATAGAGAAAGTTCTTTGGAGATTCTCCATAATTGTTGAGATCTTAAAGTGGTCTTGACACCAAAAAGTGTAGGACCTAAAGTATTACAGGGTTTGGAACGTTACACATGGAGAAAGTGGTGATGTGGTCTTCACTATTTATTTTGAGTTCCGTACTGCATTATTTTAGAATGTTGTAGAAGTCATGTTTATAGATCTTAGTTTATTTGTGGTACCAAGAATGGGAGAGGGAAAAGGGACCAACTAAGTTTCTATTTATGGTGCTGGGAAACTTGACATCAATTAAGGTAACAGTTGCACAAGCAAGTAATATAATTAAAAAAAAGAAGAAATTACAATTACCTGACATTGACGGCGCAGAACAATGCAAGGATGGGCCAGTACATTTTCTGTAAAAAGGCTGTATAAAAATAATTATATATATGTATATATGTACACACACACACATACACACACATTTGCGTGTATGTTAAGTATATATATAAGTATATATATTTATATATATATATAAAACATCGGCAGAGTTAATTTATAATACATGCATCCAAATTATTCATGTTTAAAGAATCATGCATGGTTTTGTTTTACGACATTAAAGGTAAAAAATAAGGATTAAAAAAAAATCTACACATTTTGCAAAAGTGAACCACCAATGAAACACTCAATATGAAACAAATGAAAGCCAGATCTGCGAACTCTTATGTAAACAATATACTCTACTGATAGCTGCCATATAAAGATGAAACTAGCTCTTTCATACTTAATGTGGGAGACCCCTTTCGCAAA